CAACACTGGCGGATCCAGAATGTTTTTAGCGGATGTGCAATATTGACTAGGTATGAAAAATGGTTTTTCGGAATAATCATTTTCTCAAAATAATTTTTAGCGGCTTTTATTCCTTACACATCAACTAAGAAAACTTGATTTTATGGGATTTTAGTATAAAGTATATATTGACTTAATCAACCATCATTTTTAGCCGAAATAGAATTTTGCACTAAAACCGATTTTTCATATTTTGATTTGGTGGGAATTTGATTTTCTAATATTTTTATTTGAATCTAAATGGGGAGTACTTCCTTATTTACATTGTAAATATTTACTTAAATATTGAAAATGGAAATAAGGTAATCTGTACACCAGTTAAGCAAAGGGGCAATTTGAAGCATCTACAATGATTTTTCCGACGAGAAGAGGTGTAGCTGCATCTCCTTGCGCCTTAACAGATCCGCCGCCACTGACAACAGAGATAGTAAACAACACAATATTTGAGCCAATATTCAACAGCTTCCTCAACCAAACACCGACTCAATAATTTAGAGAGAGAGAGAGAGAGAGAGGGAAGAAGGGAAAGGACGTTGATGGATCCTCATCCAAGCGTCATTGCTGGTGATGTGAACGTGTCGGTGGTTTTGCGGTTGGGTTCGCAGGAAGAGGAGGGGCCTAGGTTTTGTGACGATCTATCTTGGATATAGGTTGACTTCATACTTGCATAACTCAAGGGAATTGATTATATTGGTGGCTCAATTGGGAATTGATTGCTAGGTTGAAGAAGAGAGAGATGTGCATGGGGCTGTTTTTTTTAATTTTTATAAATGTTATTCTATTTTTCTTATTTTGTATTTTGTATTTTGTTTTGTTTGATATATTTATTGTTTATTTTATTCAAAATTATAAGTTTACCCTTATAGTTAATGAAAAATGAGATGAAATTTACAAAACTTAACGACAAGGGCTAAAATGGTCAATTTAATATAAGTTGAGTGTTAAATTGATTGATTTTTTAGTTCTAGGGTTTAGGTAGAGTTGTCAATGGATCGAATTTTGATCCAAATCCGATGTAATTAATAGAAGATGGATCTTGTGGTATAATTCCATAATCCGATTATGTTTCGAATCCATTAGTCCGTTAAGTTAATAGAATGAATCTGGATTTGATATAATCCGATAATGATGCTATCCGATTTAATATAATATATATAATTTTATTTGATTTTATCTTACTAAATATAATTTTTTATATATATCAATGATCTTACTAAATATATAGGCACTAACAATTAAAGTTCCTATAATTTCTGATTAAACAAACAATTAAGTAATTATTGGGCCACAAAAGGGAATGGCTTGGCGTTGGAGCCCCACACAGAAATAGCCATACAAAACAAAAGCATGTAGAAAGAAATAATATACACTAGGTAGATATTGCCAAGCCAACAGCCATTCATTCCACTAAAAATAATTTATTATTTAACTCCTTACCCGAAAGCCTTTTGTCTCCCACAATTTTTTTTGGGTTCGCTTTTTGTCTCCCACACAGCTTAATTCCTTGTCCCACACGCCTACACCGTGTAGGGCAATTTTCTCTATAAAAAATCCAGTGAAGTCCTCTCAGCGAGCACTTATCTCTCGTTCGCAGCCGCATTCTCGTCATCTCCAAGTGCCATCGAAACACCACTTTTCACTCTTCTAGTCTCCAGAAAACTCTTGTTCTCTTTTGAATCATAAATGTTGTCTGCAAAACCCTAACCCATTCACATTTCATCACATTTCCAAATTCTGCAATTTTTAGCAACTGCAAGTTTACAACTTCAAATCCAATCCAATCTTTCCTGGATCATCCCAAGCCAACCCATCTCTATATTCACCTGTTTCTCCTCTTAATTTCAAGTCAAATTTCACAACAAACCTTTTCTATTTGCATCTCTGTGCCAAAAACTGTGATTCTTTTCTGGCCAGACTGGCAAAATTACTCCCACAACCATGAAGAAGAGCGATCAGAAAGAAAGAACAAGCAGTAGAATGGCAACCCAACGGTACCTGCAACTTCCACAGGCTGTAACCATGGACATCCTCTCAAGGCTCTCTGTCAAGACACTTTTCAACTGCAGGTGCGTGTGCAAAGCGTGGCTTTCTATAATCTCTGACCCTCAGTTTACTAGTCTCCACGCTTCAAGGTCACCCTTTGGCATCTTGATGGAGATCTTCCCCCCTCCCCCTCTAACAAAACCAATGGAAATTTATTTTACCCATCTGGAAGTAGAAGCATGTGCTGCTCCTGGTTCAGATTTGCAGCTCGAGGAAATAACGTTTTCTCCCAGAAATACCCTTCCTCCCGTTGACGACGCCATGCGCGAATTTCGCTTGATAAACTCATGTAATGGTCTGCTTTGTTTTGGAGGTAATGAAGGCTTTCCCCTGTATGTGTGCAACCCTGTTTTGGGCGAGTACATCACCATTCCACCTTCTAATAGAAACGACAAGTGGCTTATTGTTGGACTTGGTTTTAGCATCGGGACCAATGTGTACAAGGTGTTTCAGTTGAATAACCCGGACACTGAGGCTGAGATTTACACCATTGGCGCCGGAGGGGCATGGAGAAGCATTGGACCTCCTCCTCCTGGGGATTATAATAACTTATCATTCAATAATTTTCTTCATGGAGCTGTTCATTGGATTCCCTATGGTGGTAGGAGTACAAGTTCCAAGGTTATACAATCTTTCGACTTTGAAAGAGAACAATTCCGGCCATTATCACTACCTAGTTTGCTAGCAAAGAATCAATTTTCGGGTAGTTTGACATTGGAAGTGATAGGAGGTTGTCTTCATCTATGTGTGCTCAAGAATGATGCTCGCAAACTGGACATGTGGGTTATGAAGGAGTATGGTGTCCAAGAGTCTTGGACTAAAATTCTTGCTTTCAAAAACTTGTTTGGTCTTCGGAGGGAACGAATCTGTGACAGGTATAATCCAATTATGTTTTTGAGCAATGGGGAAATCCTGATGTTCTACAACTTTGAGCGTGTAGTTTGTTATAATCAAGAAGAAAAGAGCTTCAGAAAAATAAAGATTCCTTCGACTAAGAAGTGGTCATTTCAGCCAATTGCTTACAGTCCATCCTTTCTTTCGCTATACGATGTTGCAAAAGGAGAGGACGTGAAGAGGTACTAAAATTATATTTCTAAAATATGGTTGCATAAACTTAGTTACATTATATTTCTGCCACAACTTTGCTTTCTTCCTTTTTATTTTTGCAAGTTGATGCTTTAAAGCAAATGTGAACAATATGTTGCATTTTGCAGAAATGCAAAAATTGTGTCCAAAAGGTACCTGCAACTTCCACAGGCTATAGTCATGGACATCCTCTCAAGGGTCTCTGTCAAGACCATCTTCAACTGCAGGTGCGTGTGCAAAGCGTGGCTTTCTATAATCTCTGACCCTCAGTTTACTCATCTCCATGCTTCAAGATCACCCTTTGGCATCTTGATCGAGACCTTCCCCCCTCCCCCTCTAACAAAACCAATGGAACTTTATTTTACCCATCTGGAAGTAGAAGCATGTGCTGCTTCTGGTTCAGATTTGCAGCTCGAGGAAATAACGTTTTCTCCCGGAAATTCTCTACCACCAGTTGACGCTGCCATGCCCGAATTTCGCTTGATAAACTCATGTAATGGTCTGCTTTGTTTTGGAGCTAATGAAGGCTTTCCCCTGTATGTGTGCAACCCTGTTTTGGGCGAGTACATCACCATTCCACCTGCTAATAGAAACGACAAGTGGCTTATTGTTGGACTTGGTTTTAGCATCGGGACCAATGTGTACAAGGTGTTTCAGTTGAATAACCCGGACACTGAGGCTGAGATTTACACCATTGGCGCAGGAGGGGCATGGAGGAGCATTGGACCTCCTCCTCCTGGGGATTTTAATAACTTATCGTTCAATAATTTTCTTCATGGAGCTGTTCATTGGATTCCCTATGGTGGTAGAAGTACAAGTTCCAAGGTTATACAATCTTTCGACTTTGAAAGAGAACAATTTCGGCCATTATCACTACCTAGTTTGCTAGCAAAGAATCAATTTTCGGGTAGTTTGACATTGGAAGTGATAGGAGGTTGTCTTCATCTATGTGTGCTCAAGAATGATGCTCGCAAACTGGACATGTGGGTTATGAAGGAGTATGGTGTCCAAGAGTCTTGGACTAAAATTCTTGCTTTCAAAAACTTGTTTGGTCTTCGGAGGGAACGAATCTGTGACAGGTATAATCCAATTATGTTTTTGAGCAATGGGGAAATCCTGATGTTCTACAACTTTGAGCGTGTAGTTTGTTATAATCAAGAAGAAAAGAGCTTCAGAAAAATAAAGATTCCTTCGACTAAGAATTGGTCATTTCAGCCAATTGCTTACAGTCCATCCTTTCTTTCGCTATACGATGTTGCAAAAGGAGAGGACGTGAAGAGGTACTAAAATTATATTTCTAAAATATGGTTGCATAAACTTAGTTACATTATATTTCTGCCACAACTTTGCTTTCTTCCTTTTTATTTTTGCAAGTTGATGCTTTAAAGCAAATGTGACCAATATGTTGCATTTTGCAGAAATGCAAAAATTGTGTCCCAAAGGTACCTGCAACTTCCACAAGCTATAGTCATGGACATCCTCTCAAGGGTCTCTGTCAAGACCCTCTTCAACTGCAGGTGCGTGTGCAAAGCGTGGCTTTCTATAATCTCTGACCCTCAGTTTACTCATCTCCATGCTTCAAGATCACCCTTTGGCATCTTGATCGAGACCTTCCCCCCTCCCCCTCTAACAAAACCAATGGAACTTTATTTTACCCATCTGGAAGTAGAAGCATGTGCTGCTCCTGGTTCAGATTTGCAGCTCGAGGAAATAACGTTTTCTCCCGGAAATTCTCTACCGCCAGTTGACGCTGCCATGCCCGAATTTCGCTTGATAAACTCATGTAATGGTCTGCTTTGTTTTGGAGCTAATGAAGGCTTTCCCCTGTATGTGTGCAACCCTGTTTTGGGCGAGTACATCACCATTCCACCTGCTAATAGAAACGACAAGTGGCTTATTGTTGGACTTGGTTTTAGCATTGGGACCAATGTGTACAAGGTGTTTCAGTTGAACAACCCGGACACTGAGGCTGAGATTTACACCATTGGCGCAGGAGGGGCATGGAGGAGCATTGGACCTCCTCCTCCTGGGGATTTTAATAACTTATCGTTCAATAATTTTCTTCATGGAGCTGTTCATTGGATTCCCTATGGTGGTAGGAGTACAAGTTCCAAGGTTATACAATCTTTCGACTTTGAAAGAGAACAATTTCGGCCATTATCACTACCTAGTTTGCTAGCAAAGAATCAATTTTCGGGTAGTTTGACATTGGAAGTGATAGGAGGTTGTCTTCATCTATGTGTGCTCAAGAATGATGCTCGCAAACTGGACATGTGGGTTATGAAGGAGTATGGTGTCAAAGAGTCTTGGACTAAAATTCTTGCTTTCGAAAACCTGTTTGGTCTTTGGACGGAACGAATCTGTGATAGGTATAATCCAATTATGTTTTTGAAAACTGGGGAAATCCTGATGTTCTACAACTTTGAGCGTGTAGTTTGTTATAATCAAGAAGAAAAGAGCTTCAGAAAAATAAAGATTCCTTCGACTAAGAAGTGGTCATTTCAGCCAATTGCTTACAGTCCATCCTTTCTTTCGCTATACGATGTTGCAAAAGGAGAGGACGTGAAGAGGTACTAAAATTATATTTCTAAAATATGGTTGCAGAAACTTAGTTACATTATATTTCTGCCACAACTTTGCTTTCTTCATTTTTATTTTTGCAAGTTGATGCTTTAAAGCAAATGTGACCAATATGTTGCATTTTGCAGACATGTAAAAAGTGTATGAAGTTGCTAATCTTCTCTAATACTGCATAGAAGTTTGAAATTATGGTATACAATCTGTATGCTTTATGAGTCTTGAAGGTCGCGTCTTAGTGCCACAGATCCTAAACTTAGATTGAAATTTTGATTAACTATGTGGGTTTGGTAAACTTTCTGGGGTTGCATAAACCATGAGTTACTTTTTCACTAAAATCAAGTGGTAACGGAGTTTTTTTCGTAAAATAATTCCTCAGAATTCATGCATAAAAATTAGCTTCATTTCTATGTTACCACTTTTTATGCAGGGTTGGCAGCAGTAAGAGATATAACAAGCTGCCTGTTTGATGAAGCGAGTTATGATTGTACTGCTTTTGAAGAGGCTCTTCATAAAGCCAAAAATTCCTCTGTAAGTTTTCATAGCTTATATATCTGTCTATTTTCTTGTCCTGTTTGTTAGTTGTTATGCATTCATTTTCTGCTCTCTTGATTCTATCTAGTGGTTGCTACTACTATATCCATTTTCTAATTTTCTTTTTTTATTTTCAGCCGGATTCGAATCAGAGGATTGGGACTGCATGATTTCTTCAGAGGAAAAAGGGAGGCTTCTTTTTGTTACTTGGCTTCAGCCATCAGGGGAAACTCGGCGTCTATAGATCAAAATGCCTTTGATGGCTTGTCTAGGACAAAGTGATTGAAACCCTTTGTTAAAACTTTTGATTTTAATTAGTGTCTAAATTTCTAGTTACAATCGTACAAGTATTTCCTATGGTTATCATTTGTTTTCCTTTTTGGAAGTTGCATATCATTTGTCCTTTTGGCCATGGAAGTATTATCATTTATACCATATTTGTGTTTAGAATTTTGTTATAAATAATTGCAAAAGGTAGTATACATACAATTGGTATAATATTTTTGGTTGCAGTATTAGTTGTAGTATATTGATGTTGCTCTTTTTTGTTGGAGTAAATTTTCATGTCTCTCATTGTTGTTTGATTTGGGTGTATTCATGGTTTTGCACGTGAGGTATTTGATGGGTTGGGTATCTTATTTTGCTTAATGTTGAAGTGATTGCTAATTTGCTACGAATTTTTTAGCTTATTATGTGTCACAATGACTACAATTTGACAATTTTTTTACTTATGTACCTATCAATCAGATAAGATAATTCAATACCTTTACCTTTTGATTAGGTACTAAAAATGAGGTTAACTTGTGATGTGCTTTGTGACATTTTTACCAAAATAGGAGGTATATTGGTAACGACTTACCTACAAGGAGGGGTGGGCATCCGATTGTATCGAACTGACGGTTTGATTTGGTTTAGTTAAATTATTATTCTATATTTTAACGGTACTACCGATGTACCAAACCGAACTTCGGTTTCGTTAATGGAAAAGCTCTCTATCATTCCAAACCGATTCATGCCAAATCCTACCTGCAAGCGAGACAAGTTGATTGTTTGTACCTTTTCTTTAGGTGCCTATATATTTTGCTTGGTTTCTACCTACATAGTAGGTTTATTTAAACGTGTTATATGTTGATTGTTTTTATCAAATTATTTTGGATCGATGAAGGTATTTAATGGTGACTATGCAACATTCAAAATTCAAAATTCGTTATTAAAGCAAGGAATTTTAAATTAGCTTCCATTATTTACCTTTAAGGGTAAAACAGTCACAAAAATAAATAATAAATGCCAATTGGGCCTCCATTTAATATCTGTAACACAATGGTTTTTTCTTCAACATTTTTGATATGAAATGGGTCTATATTTAAAGTCCCTTATCAGAAAATTACCTATAACATTCAACTTAACTACCTACGAGTCCATTCATTATCAAAAAAGGCTTCGATACTATTAGGAGTGTAACCATTCATTATAAGTAGTATTTTATTTAGCAATACAATACAACATATAGGCCCTGTTTGGTGGGCTGGACTGGACAAGACTTTTTCAATTAAAATGGATTACAATCCTATCCGTCGTTTGGCGAGCTTAAATGCACAACGGGACTGGTTAGGACTCATATTTCCTATTGGATAACAATCCAGCAAACCCTAGTATTGTAAACCTGAGGGGAACCACGGGTTTAGAACGACATCGCCTCCTTTCTCCTTTCTCCTTTCTTCTTCGATCGTCTACGGCCTCCACTTCCTCTCTCCTTCGTTCTTCTACGCCCCTGCCTCCGCCTCTGCTTTTTCGATTGTCTACGCCTCTTCCTCCTCCTCCTTGGCTATCAGCTATTTCATACCCAGAGGTGTTGGATCCCGAGCAAGCAATGAAAGGGCTATCTGGTAATGTGTTTTAATTACTAGCTATTAGGGTGTGGTTTGAAACTGTGACTGGTGGGGTGGGGGAGCTTGGACTTGGAGTTTTCTTGTTTTTGTGAAATGGGTTTTGGAGGATTCGGGTTTTTAGGGAGTGTGTGATTTGCTGTTTTGGTGAAAGATATATGCAGAAGGGTTATGAACTTATGATGATGATGGGGGTGGGTTTTTGTGTTTTGTTAATTGTTTTGTTTGTTGGAAGAAGAATGAGATATTGTGGATGGTTGGGGTTTTGCAGGGTGGGTTTTGGGAAATATCTGGTGTAGAATTTATGATTGTTTGTTTGTTTGTCCACAAATCTTCTAGGGTTTAGTGTTGGACCAACAAGTCTGAATTTTGGGTTCATACTTGCATTTTGAATGTGCCAGCAAAGATTGCATGTTAGCTATGATTTTGGGTGATTAATTGGAGATTATGAACATCAGTTTCTAGTGCTGGTCCTTATTGCTATCAATTTAAAATATTTTTTCAAGTCTTATGAGTGAGTTGGGTTCAAAAGCAATTTTAAAGTCATATTTTATTTTTTTTAATTATGAAAAGTTTTTGTGTCAGTTGCTTGATCTGCTGTTTTATGTAGTTTTTCAAAGGCATATAGTTCTTTGGCCAGTTCATAAACCTTTTCAACCAGAGAAACCTTTTCAACCTTTTCAACCAGAGTGAGTTGGGTTCACTGTTTACCTCTCTTTTTTGGTTTGATTCCCCTTCTACTTGTTATTCTTGTCTTGCGTCTGTTAGAATTGCATCTGTTAGAATTAGAGAAACAACGTTTATGTTTGAGTCTGTTAGTTTATGTTTGAGTATAAAAAAAGAAAGTCACAGATTATGATTTTGTTCTTGCCAATATTGTTAATGGCAGGGTAGACATGAATCGAACGTACTCATGGAAGGTTGAAGATGTATGGTTCGGTGGCGATTGAGGAGCAAGTTTGTATGTTTTTATATATTCTTGCCCATCACGTAAAAAATCGTACGGTTCATGATACGTTCGGTCGATCTGGTGAGACAGTGAGTAGGTACTTCAATTCAGCCAATTGGGCTGAATCCAAACCCATAAGAAAAAAATTATTTTGATTGTTTTTATCAAATTATTTTGGATCGATGAAGGTATTTAATGGTGACTATGCAACATTCAAAATTCAAAATTCGTTATTAAAGCAAGGAATTTTAAATTAGCTTCCATTATTTACCTTTAAGGGTAAAACAGTCACAAAAATAAATAATAAATGCCAATTGGGCCTCCATTTAATATCTGTAACACAATGGTTTTTTCTTCAACATTTTTGACATGAAATGGGTCTATATTTAAAGTCCCTTATCAGAAAATTACCTATAAAATTCAACTTAACCACCTATGAGTCCATTCATTATCACAAAAGGCTTCGATACTATTAGGAATGTAACCATTCATTATAAGTAGTATTTTATTTAGCAATACAACATATAATGAGTGATTACACTCCTAATAGCACTGAGGCCTTAATTTTAGTTACAAGAATGGTGGGTTTGGATTTAGTGTTAGTTTTTTTCTTATGGGTTTGGATTTTTATTTATAGAGTGGAGATTGGGATTGATATGAAAAATATTATGGTTTAGGATTTTTGTTGCTCCTTATTACTGGATCGTTTTATTTTTACTCTATTTACTTTAGACCTGACATTGAATCTTAGTTCATAGAATACACGATGCATAATAAGGATATCTCCAGTTGTGCATTTATTATTAAATTTTAGCATTATAAATCATGAAATTGGTACATGTTGGAAATGTTGGAACTAGGTGGGCATGCCAATGTGTTTCTGTTGGTTTTTAACAAACATGCTTTTAGTTTTATGAAAATGGACTAGATGTGGTTAACAGTGTTGTTTATACCCAATTTTGATCAATGGACCAAAACTGGTTACTTCCCCAGAGAAAAAAAAAAAGGGAATGTGGCAAGGGCCCAAGCCCAATAATCGTTTACAAGGTATTTTCTTCAAAAGACCATTTCTGATTTATAACAAGTACCGAGATAACCAAAACCGAGGCCCAAGGGCAGAGGGCCCAAAACGATTGAACCACTGACAGAATAAAAATCGAAAGCCGTTCCAAACCCACGCGAGATTAAGAAGGAACATCAGCATTAAATGACGATTTGACTTTTCTCCCTTTCAAGAAGAAAAGCCAGCCGCCGAAGGAAGCCACCAAGCCAGGTAAGAAGCCAACTTGCCCATCAAATCACTAAAGGACGAAGACGCTTCAGACCAAGGAACCAATTCAAAAAGCCATCGGTTCTCGCCTGAAAGATCAATCTTCCCCTCTACGGACCAGTTCAGAACGTCAAATCAGCAAGCTGACTTTGGACGACAGGCAAATATCCTTACCCAGTCATCATCATTTGAGACCTCCTCTGCCTCTATAAATAGAAGGCTTCCAGCACAGAAGAAGAGGACTCTCTCTCCAAAACCAGACGCAACGTCTCGTAAAACACTCAAAAAGCATTCAAAGCATTCCAGTTATTTCGTTCAGACTTCAGATAGCCAGGCGATCTCCGTGTTCGTCTTTTTATTTCTCTGCCATTTCCATGGTATGATTAACTTCTGAAAATGTTCAGTTTGATTTTTGTATAATTCAGTCGGCTGTAAACCTCAAATTATCGTGATAGTGTATTTTGCGTAATTTGAAAGTAATAAGCATGGATCTTTACTGTTTCTGTCATTGATTTAAAAGTGAAAGGAAATATGAGTGATGTTGCATTCCTAAAAGGACACAAATTAATGTGCAAACAACCAATTAAAAATACCCGCAAGTGCACGAATCTAATGAAGTATAGATTATGTAAGTACGGGGTCGATCCCACGAAGAACTTGTCGGTTTCCTATAAGTTCTAATTTGAGTACGTAAAGAACACTAATTTTACACAACACACAAACACAATACAAATTGGAAACTAAAAATGAAGTAAGGAAGATAAAAGAAATGAAACAACACAAGAAAACAAAGAAAAACACAAACAGCACTTTCTATCACCCGTTTATCACCATTTGGACAGAAGTGTATTTATATCTCTGCAAAGAAAAGTGTTAAGAGCTTAGGCATGAAGGCTGATGGATAACTAAACTAGTTTCTTCGGAATTCCCCAAATCGTTGAAAGGTAGCTATATGGATCCTTCTGTGTATGGGGTGGCTGGTGGAGATTTGGGGTTGGGTAGGGTTTATTTTTTAAAATTGATTTCCTTTTAAATTTTATTATGTCCTAATTGAATTTTAAAAATTTAAAATTATTTAAAGTTAAAATTACTATAGTGCCCTTGCCACTTCATCAAAGTTGACAGAGTTAGAGCATCCGCAATGAGCTCCCTAAACCACCTCCGTAGACAAATTTTAAGGAAGAATTGTAAAAATGCAACTCCAACCATGCTCCCTATCCACCTCCTAAAATAGGGAGTCCTCTAGGAGCTCTTAAATCTGAGGAGAGAGAAAGGACTCCTAGTGGTTCCCTATAATTTAATGCTTCTTTATTTAATGAGTATTTCAAACCTTTATTTAATGCTAACTATTTTTTATTTTATTTTTTAATAGAGATGGACCAATCAAAAAAGAGTTATAGCATTTATGACTCTCCAAATTAGGGAGTATGGTTGGAGTTGAAATTTTTTAGAGAGCTCCTAAAATAACTTTCTTATATTTTTAGCTAAATTTTAGCTAAGAAATAGAGAGCATCATTGCGGATGCTCTTATGAATGGAGATAACGGCAAGGGCAAACTGGAACACCAAGGGGCAAACTGTACCACTTTGACTTACGGGGGGCAGTGTGGGATTTGACCATAATTTCAAGAGGCACTACAATAAATAAGCCTATTTATTATGGCATACATTTAATGCATCTTCTTGTGAAGATTATTTGCATTTTACCGAAGATCCATTTCCGGTTGTATATGGACTTGGTTTTTGTATTTTTCAAAATGTGTCGTTGGAATCGCGCATTATGTAGGTGCTTGAAAATGGATGACCACTATGGAGACCGACTTAGGGGCGGCTTGCCTTCGGTAGGTGATTCCCTTCAACAAGCTTTGGAGGATCTGCAAGAGGAAAGTGCAAGGGTAAAACCTTGTTATCGATGTGGTACTAGCCAAAGGCTCTCCAATGCTTAAATTAACTAAGTATGAATGAGTAAGTAATTCGGCAGAGTAAGGGGCATTTCCGTCCAATCTTACAATTCCTCCCCAACCACCTTCTCCCATCCCTCCTTGCCCTCCCGACAACCTCCTCCTCCTAACTCAACCCGCTCCACACCTTATAGCCACGATACCCCCACATCCACCATATACCCTCACTCTTCCACATGCCCAACATTATGCTGCCTTCCCTTTGCAATCACATTCTCTCTCTCTCTCTCTCTCTCTCTCTCTCTCATCAAACTCCAAACCTAATTCCATGTATTGCCCAAAATCTCTCCTTATGAATCCAAGGTAAGGGATTTTGAGACTTAAAGTATAAGAAAATCTGAAAGGGCTGCAGTGGCTGTGAAAGTAATTGGGGAGGGCCTACAATGTTTGACCAAAATGCCCCTTTATAATAAAGTAATTTGACAAAAAAAATTGGGGATTGTCCTTGAATTGCTTGTAATTGAAACTACATAGACAAAATTGATCAAATTGAAACTACAGAGATGTTAGTGGTAAAAGTGATAAAATACACATACCGAAAATGACTTTAAATAGTTCACAAAAAAAAAAATGACTTTAAATAATTAAGAAGATAATACCCCAAATCAGAAAAATAAGACGGTTGTTGTACACGTATCAGAGGATTTCTTCCTTCCTTAATTTTCATTTGACATTTGTCCTTTGCCCAATACATGCCAGTTTATACGTGCCATTTTAGCTCTGAATATTTTTCAAAAGAAAGCATCAACTAGTTCTCTCAAGGCACCCCCATCAGCTAGCTCTCGAACTTTCCCAAACCTACAGAATGGCAAGAGAAACGAAAGGAAATCCTATGAATTCAAGAAAAAAAGTGGCAATCAGAGCAGCTATGAGCAGCAAAAACAAAGAGCAATCAGGAGAACAATGCCAACCCAAAGCTCCTTGCAGCAAATTCCAACAACTTCCACAGGCTTTGGTCTTGGAAATCCTCTCAAGCCTCTCCATCAAGACCCTCTTGAATTGTAGGTGCGTGTGCAAAGACTGGCTTTCTATAATTTCTGACCCTCAATTTACTAAGCTCCACTCTTCAAGGTCACCCGTTGGCATCTTGATCAAGACCTACCCCCCTATAAGAAAATCAAGGAAACTTGATTTTACCCATATAGAAGATTGTGCTGGTTCTGATTTGCTGCTTGAGAAAATAAGGTTTAATCCCCAAAACAGCCTACCCATTGGGGCCATGCCTGAATTTCGTTTGATAAACTCATGTAATGGTCTGCTCTGTTTGTCTGGACCCAATAGAGATTACCCATGTTTTGTGTGCAATCCAATTTTGGGTGAGCACATCAGCATCCCTCCTACCAATCTAAGTAGAAACAAGTGTTTTTTTGTTGGGCTTGGTTTTAGCAATGGAACCAGTGAGTACAAGTTGTTGCAAATGACCAATGGCACTGAGGCTGAGATATACACCATTGGTACAGGAGTGTGGAGAAGTATTGGAAATGCTCCTGGGGATATTGATCAGTTACCCTTCAATCCTTTTCTGCATGGAGCTCTTCATTGGGTATCCTATAGTAGTACAGTTCCTGATTTTATACATTCTTTCGACTTCGAAAGAGAACAATTTCGACCACTGCCTGTGCCTAGCTTACTGGGAAATCGATTTTCAGATTGTTATATACTAGAAGTGGTAGGTGGGTGTCTCTGTTTCTCTGTGTTTGATGATGATTATAGCAAATTCGACATGTGGGTTATGAAGGAGTATGGTGTTCAAGGGTCTTGGACTAAAGTTCTTGTTTTCGGAAACTTGTACGAGTGTCCAGAGGAACGAATCTGTCATGTGTATGAACCAATTATGTTTTTGAGGAATGGGGAAATCCTGCTGTTGTTCAATAATTGTGCTGTTGTTTGTTATAATCAAGAAACAAAGAGTTTCAGGGAAATAAGAATTACTTGGACTCGGTCACCATTTGAGGCAATTGCTTACAGTCCATCCTTTGTTTCCCTCTACAATGTTTCAAAAGGAGAAGAGGTGAAGAGGTACTAAAATCCTATATGTTTCAAAGATATACATGCTTTAATTTACTTACATTTCTCTGCCACAACTTTTATTTTTTGCTTTATATTTGTGGAAGTTCATGTTTGTCCGAAAATGCAGTCAAGGTATTGCATTTTAAAACTTGCACAAACTTTTTCTTTCCTAGGTTCTTTTAATTTTCCTTAACATTGCATATGAAAGTCTGGAAGTATTCATATAGCTCATACACAAGTAACAAGTTCAATGCTTAAGATATGTTAATAGAATGATTAATAAGGCTATAGTTACTAAAAAAATACTTGTCACTTGCCGATGCTATGATCATTTGCTACTCACAATGGAGTGAACCCCTCAGGTTTGTTACCATGATAGGTTTTGAGTTTGTTCAAGAATTTTCTTAACTAGGAATTTGAACAATAACACGGATGCTTCAGTAAGTGGCTGGGACATTGGTCACTGATCAGCTCATTTTGGCATGCTTACCGTGTATGATATGAAGGGTACAATGCGGTAAGAAATCGGGTAAGAAATCTGGAAAGCTGCTTTCGGAAGGGAGCTATGAGTGTGCCGGCTCTAGTATGCCACCCCGCAAGTCCACAAAACTTAACTCAGGCTATGGATGCCCTGCTTTTGAGGAGGGTCTTCCTTGAACCATAAATCCTCTGTGAGTTGTCGTAGTTCTTATTATCCATCTGTTTTCTTGTGCTAGTGTGTTACTGAATAATTTCATACTTAACTCAGGCTATGGATGCCCTGCTTTTGAGGAGGGTCTTCCTTGAACCATAAATCCTCTGTGAGTTGTCGTAGTTCTTATTATCCATCTGTTTTCTTGTGCTAGTGTGTTACTGAATAATTTCATTTGCTTTCAGCTGGATTTCACTCGGAGGATATGGACTGCGTTCACTCTATGCGGTGTCCACTTGGGTTATGTTGTAAGAGGTTTAGGTTCCCAATGTGCCAACAATGTTCTGAGTCTTTTGATGACACCGGTTCCTCATGAGAGCTTCTCGATTGCTTGTATATAGGTTTTTGTAATACCCAAGTAGCTCTCCTTTTGTTCTTCAGAATAGACAGAAAAAGGCAGCATTTTGTTTTATAGCCATTATAGTAACTCTGCCCCTATAGATCAATCTGCAGGTGATGACTTGTCTAGACAAAAACCTGGTTGAAACTTTTGTAAAACTTTGTATCAATGTCCAAATGGCTATTTACAACCTTATTTAGAACCCCTATAGATCAATCTGCAAGTGATGACTTATCTCGCCAATTTCTTCTCTTTTATGGCATGTTTGCTTACTTATCCGTAATCAGATGAGAAGGAATTGAATTGAGGAGAGTCAGAATCTAGATTTCCAATTAAGTTGGTTACTAAATTACAAGAAACTTTTCAGCGTGACGGTAACATTAGCATAACATATTCATGTAGTCTTAAGTGATCTTGGCTGTTTGTTTTCGTTTCTTACGGTCTATACCTGCATCAAAATGGGATTTATCCTTCTATTTTACAACAGAAAAAGAACAAATCATTTTAACAAGTAAATTTTGTTATAGTGGTGAAGGGCTAAGGGATAGAATTCAAAATGTATTAGTTATTTCATAATTGTTTTTTTAAAAACTGAGAGATTTTTTTATTTTGAAGATATTTTCTATTGCGAGGGGCGATAATATATTAAACTAATACACACTACATGGATGCTAAGACTCCAATCTAGGATTTTTTCTGGAGGAACAATTGCTCCAAACCACTACACTAGTGGGTTTTTAGCAAAAAATGGAGAGATTTTGGGTGAGAAAGATGTGATGAACAAAGAGTTAGTTATTTATAGAGTTGTGAAACGAAAAATGGATTTCTTTTTTTCTTTACAAAGAAAAAAACAAAACATTGTTGATTCAATGAAGTTATCTTACTTTGATAAAAAAAAAAAGAAAAAAAGAAAAAAAAAAAGTTTTCATCAATCACGCTACAAAAACTACTTTATTATGTAAATTGGGTTTTGTTTGGCAAAAGAGATCGTCCACTTGCTGACTGATTTGAGTTATTTCTGTCGGTAACAAAAATCCTTGAGAAGTACCATGCCGTAAGGGGTTTTGGCTCCATTAAGATTTTTATGGGGTTTTGGCTCCATTAAGATTTTTATTTAAGATTTTTATGGTAAGAATTGGTTAAGGAGGTTTAATCTTAGTTATTGGACGGCATGTAATGTATATTTTAAAAAATTATTTAATCTATTAATATATCTAATGAATGACTGAGATTAGAATTCCTTGACTAATCCAAAACTTCTATGTTTAAGTTTGGTTAAAAATTCTTAATATTATTCAATGGATTGCATTCATGGTATATATTAAAAAATTATTTAACACACTAACAAATGTAATGGATGGGCTAAGACTAGAACTCCTTAACTAATCATTAACAAAAATCCTTGAAGTCCCCGGATTTGGCTCCATTAAGAACTTTATGTTAAGGATTGGTTAATGACTTATAATTTAGTCATTGAATTGCATGTACGGTATATTATTAAAAAAATTAATTAATTAACCCCACTAACATATCTAATAAATGGTTGAAGGATTTAACCTGCTAACATATCTACTATCTAGTAGATGACTGAGATTAGAACTCTTTAACCGATACTTAACAAAAATCTTTATTAGAGAGGTTCCTTGTTGTAAATACTATTATGTGGATGCTCTTGTAATTACATTTAATATTCTCATGCATTAATCCAATATAATATCACTTGGATAATATTTTAAAGTTTTATTTAAAGTGTAACTACAAGACTGGACCAGACCAGATTCGAATTAAAATTCGGTTGGTCCATTGAGAGGTGCCCCCCTAGCCCACTACAAGAGTGACAAGTGGGACAACCCAAAAACGTAAAGTATGCTGAGCTCTTGCCGCCAAAAGCCCATTTCAATGCTCTTCTGGCATTTCTGCAACGATTTTGACTGCTGATGAGTCTCCTCGTGATAGTCCAAGAAAAAAGAAAACAAAGAAGCCCCAAAATGAAGAATATGAATCCAAGCAAAAGAGTACCAAATAGAGCAGCGACTTGCAGCAAAGACACAGAGCGATTAGGAGAAAAATGGCAGCAACCCGGAGGTCCTTGTCCCTGCACCTACTTCCAGCAACTCCCACAGGCTATAGCCATGGAGATTCTCTCAAGGCTCTCCATGAAAACCCTCTTCAACTGCAGGTGCGTTTGCAAAGAGTGGCTTTCTCTAATTTCTGACCCTCACTTTACTCATCTCCACCTATCAAGATCAAGAATTGGCATCTTGATCAAGAAGTATCCCCATAATCTGAAATCATGGAAACCTGAGTTGACCCATGTAGAGGAATGTGCTGAATCTGATTTGTGGGTAGACACAATGAACTTTACTGACAATGTACCCATTTCCGAATTCGGTTTGGTAAACTCATGCAATGGTTTAGTTTGTTTGTCTGGACCTCATAAATATGACCCATGTTATGTTTGCAATCCAATTTTGGGTGAATTCATCATCATTCCACCTACCCAGAAAGGTAGGGGCTGGTGCAGTTTTGTTGGGTTTGGTTTTAGCGTCCGGACGAATGAGTACAAGGTGTTGCAAACGAGCTTATCTGACAACTTCTGCAAGGCTGAGGCTGAGATATACACCATTGGTACAGGGCTTTGGAGAAGCATTGGAAATGCTCCTATGGACTTCCCTGAGTTACCATTCAATTCTTATCTGCGAGGAGCTCTTCATTGGGTTTCCTATGGTGGTAATATGTCTATGCTTATAAACACTTTCAACTATGGAACAGAGCAATTCCAACGATTACCCTCACCTAGCTGCTTTGGACAAAGAAAGAAGCAATCTTCAGAGTCTTTTAAGTTGGGAGTGTTAGGAGGTTGCCTCCTTTTATCTGTGTTGGATGATGAATCTAGAAAAATTGGCATGTGGGTTATGAAGGATTATGGTGTCCAAGAGTCTTGGACTAAATTTCTTGTCATCATCGAAAACTTGTTTCAAAGGACACATTTCTTCAGTTTGCATGAACCTATCATGTTTTTGAGTAATGGGGAAATCCTGATGGTGCACAACAGTTGGGATGTTCTTTGTTATAATAAAGAAAAAAAGAGTTTCAGGGAAATCAGAATTACTGGGACTCAGTCGTCATTCTCATTCGATGCAATTGCGTACAGTCCATCCTTTGTTTCACTCTACGATGTTTCAAGAGGAGAGAAGGTGAAGAGGTACTAAAATTCTACTTCAACGATATACATGCACAAACATATATTTCTCTGCTACAACTTCTATTTTGCTTTTTATTTCTGGAAGTAGATAATTTGTAGGCAATATTGTTATAAGGATCCTGCATATGTGTAAGCTCACAAGATCTAACAAGTTCAATTCAATGCCTATTACTAACCAATACAAGGATCTACTTATTCAGAAAATTTGCTTGTCACTTGCTAAGACTATGATCATTATGACAGATTTTTTAGTTTGTCCAAGCATTTGTTTAACTGTGCAATGATGTTTAGCCCTTTGAGCCGGGGGGTGAGGCATTGGTTACTGATTATGGAAACTCATTTGGCTGTGTACCGTATGATATGCAGGGTAAGAGGCAGGAATAAATCTGACAAGCTGCTTGCTGTGGGGAGTTCTGATTGTGTTGGTTCTGGTATGCCACCCTACAAGTACAGAAAACTTAACTGAGGTTATGGCCAGCCTATTTTCTTGTGACCATCTTCTGTTTTCTTGGATACCAAATGGTTGTTGCTGTCTTCTTTTTTTGCTGAACAATTTCAGCTGGATTTCACTTTGAGGATAGGGAATGAATGTGCTATATGTGGCAGGGACTTGGGTTTTGTTTTCAAATGTAAGGGGTTCCGAATGTGTCGATAATGTTACGAAACACAAGTTCATGCTGAGAATTCTTGAATTGCTTTTTAGTTTCAAGGTTGTTCTAATCCCCAAAGCAACTATCAGCAAAGGTAGAAAATGGCTTCTTTTTGTTACTTCACCATCAGACAGTAACTCTGCTTCTATACAACATAATGCTAGGACGATTTGTTTTGTGAACTTTTTATGAATTTCTAAAGTGCCTAGTTACAATCTCTTTTTTGGGTCCTTTGAGATTATCCTTATGGTTACAGGAAATTGTTGAAGGCTAATTTCTTTTATGGATTTAGTCAAATTATAAATAGAAAATAAAATAAAAACCAGAGAGTAGATATAGTTGCAATCGTGGTTGAAGCTCATCTTTCATATGATCACAGTTTACACTGTCATTCTTCCTCCTCTCGTTGCATGTCTTCAAGGCCTCAAAGAACCTGAATTTGATAACAGTTACTAAAATCACACAAGAAAGGAAGAGGAACCAAAGAAGAAATTGTGAGAAAACAAAATGCATGCCCATTTGACAAGATTTCGTGTTCCAGCCGAACCCAGATGGGAAGAGGCCTGAGATCACATGTGCAACTTTTGTTTTGGCCACTTCACTTGGGCAATCTTTCTAGAGGGTCAAAACAAAACTAAAACAAAATGCCTAGGTCGACCTGCTTTAGAAGAGGATCTAGCGCCAGAATTCCACAAGTCTACCACAGTTCATACATCTATTTATTCCATCTTTTGGCTATTATATCATTTTCTGTTTCCTGAATCAAGCTGTTGGTAACTGTTACCGTCTCCTTTTGCTCAACGATATTTTTCATTTCTTTTTTTTCAGCCGGATTTCATTTGTAGGATCGGGACTTGGTTGATCTTTTCAGATGAAAGGGATTCTCAATATTGACGTTTCGACTTAGGTTCCTCCTGAGAATTCTGCATTACTTCTGTGTCTAATTCCAAAGCATCTCTGCTTCTGTTTCTCAGCAAAAACAGAGAAAGCCTTCTTTATAACTCTGCTTCACTCTAGAACAAAATGCAGTTGATGACTTGTGGAGAGAAGAGAAACATGACTTGTGGGTTTTGGTTACAAGAAATTGTATGCAAAACAACCAAGAAATGGTCACAATTTCATTTAAAGATTCAGTCAAATAATAAAACCCAAAAATCATACATATTAGAAATCCTAATCGAAGCTCATCTTTGCTATGATCTCACTTTCCTCTGTCATTATTCCTCCTCTCATTGCATGCCTTCAAGGCCTGGACTTCTGATGAAATGTTGTTCACAGAAGAAAAAAAAGAAAAAAAAAAGTAATTATTAATTAATTAAAACAACCCCCCAAAATACAAGCCTACAGGATCACCAAATGAAAAAAGAGCAAAACCCAGGAACAAGATAACTGAAAGAGAAAAAAGAGTGAGAACAAAAATGCATACCCACTTGACACGATTTCCAATTCCTGTCAGTCTTAACAAGGCAATCCTGCAAACCACAGATCAGATGGGTTTTTCATGATTTTCAGGGTTTAGGGTTTTGGAATTTAAAATTCAATAGAAAATTGGGAAATATTACCTGTAAGGATAGGTAGATAACAGAGCAATCCTTGAGCTGTTTTACATTCTCATCATCATCTTCTACCTCTGTGTGGAGGGGAGGTGGTGGCTGCTGTGACTGGTCGCTGCCTTCTGGGTTCGGTTGGGTTAGGGGTTGGTTCATTTTTGGCTTCTACCAAACCAAGCCCTAACTTACCCACCAAATATTAATACCACTGATTATATGAAAAATTTTGTTTTTTTTTAATACAATAAAAATTGGATTTGTGAAAAATTACTAAATATTTGGTAAATGAAAATGACTGAACCATTTTGGAAGGTTAGGTGCTTGTTTCACTTGTGAGTAAGTACCCGTATTATATGGCATCACTTCATCCACCCACATTAGCCTAATAGCCACCAAGAGTAAAGGGTCCTAGACCCAGCTTTCCTAACTTCCCAACCAAAGAAACCAAATGGTCCATATCTCACCTTCTTTTATTTATTTCTATTGCTTTTCTTTCCAAATTTGCATATGTCAATTTGGCAATTACGTTTTATAGACCCCTCATTGAAGTTATGGGCTTTACCAAAATTATAAATCTTGAATTTCCCTAACATTGAAACCGTCCAAGGCAATCAAGGTGGTTGGTGTGAGTGGTTCGGTACTCTCATTCCTTAAGAGAGGTCAGGAGTTCGATCCCTACTCTCGTACGGAGTCATCACTTTGGCTAACACTTTATCCCTTATGGACCGACCCGGTGTGAGTGGGGATTAGTCTGGGTTGTGGTTAAGGCTTAAAGGTGCCACCCATAATTGGGGCCCATCCAGGACCACCTCATGGTTCAAACAAAAATAAATAAATAAATAAAACCGTCCAAGGCGACATAACAACATTCTTTTGGAAAAAAAAAAAAAAAATAATAATAATAATTTGAGGAGAAAATGTGAGATATTTTGTTCTACCATAAAGAAAAAGGTAAATGATGAGATATTTTGTAATTATTACAAATTAATGGAAAGTATGTGTTAAAAGAAGAAATATGAAATAGAATATTGAAAAGAAGTTAATCATTACATCAGTTTTAAGTCAGTTGGTTGAGTTTTTTCACCTTCACTTCTATGGGTAAAGGTTCGAAACCCCCAGACACTATCTGAATATTTTATGTAAAACCCCCTTCCCCAAATCCCTTGTACTAAAAAAAAATATCAGTTTGAAAATGACGAGAAAAACTATAGAGCATGTTCCAAGCGTAACTCATTTATATACATGTCATATATTGTACATGTGATGGGAATACATTACATATGCGATGTGTATCCTTGACATGCACATATTGCACATGTAACGAATGAATAAGAGTAAGTAGTAAACAAACTAAAAAGAAAATAAATAAATCATACATTGTGTATGCACCTAGTGCATATAATCCGAATTGGTATGATATGTCATTTCTTTGATAAGATGGTAACATGATAATAAAATAAATCATACTTTGGCACTTTGCATACATTGTGTATGCACCTAGTGCATATAATCCGAATTGGTATGATATGTCATTTCTTTGATAAGATGGTAACATGATAATTCGTTTCATTGTAGATTTAAGTCATTAATTCTATGCATTATGGATTCTCAAAAATACCATATATATATATATATTGTACACAAACTCATGGATTATCAAACTTAATATTTCAAAAAAATATAGTAAAACTCGTGATATTAATTGTAACATTTTCTTTGTTTTGGCCCAAGAAATTATTTATGTTGAATCATTAGTGTAGACAATTTTATTATTGTTGAAATTGATATTTATTATGAAATAACTCATGTATATGAGTAGGTGGGTAATCTTTCTTAACCATGGTTAGTATAGAAAAAGGGCAAATTCAATTAACCTTGGTTACTTGGTCTGGTTATCAGGAAAAATAAAAATAAAAATAAAAATAATTAAAATTACACCCAAAACATTTGAGAGAGACAGACGTTCAATTCTCTATTTCTCTTTAGACTAAAAATTAAGAAAATAAGAAAATAAAACAACTATAAATTCTCTTTCTGATTCTCTGATCTTCTGAGACTGGTCGTACCTTTGATTGCTCGAACAATAGCTGGAATCGGGTGCGTCTCGATCGTCTATTCTCTGATTATGAACCTCAAATTCTTATATTTGTATTGGAGATCTTTAATTACATGAACACCCACTTACCAGATTCTTGAATTTTGTTCTTTGATTCTTGTTTTGATCTAATGGGTTGGTTTTGATTTTATATTTCTATCGAGTTTCACATTGCTAGCTCATAATTATCATGTATAATCAAGTGGGTATGTTTCAAACGGATTGATTGTTCAGTTTTTGCTTCTGGGTAGTCTTTTCTATATCTTTGATTGATGTGTTTTGATTGATTTTGGTTCTAAAATGTTGGCAACCTTTAATTCAGATACTGAGATTTATATGTGTTGGTCCAGTCCTTGTTGAACGCAATATGCTTTTAGTAATCTGGTTTTAATTGTTTTATTTTGATTGACCAGTAGATGATCTTGTGAGCTGGATTATTGGTTGCAGTTATCAATGTTGATTTTTGTAGTTTGTTGTTTGATTGCAGTTTTGGTAGAAATTATCAATTGGTATTTTGGTATGGCATTAGGAACTGATTGATGATACTTTATGCATATTGATATGTATATATTGAAATAGATTGTTTTATGCAGCTGAAATGGCATCAATGGTCGCCAAGGGCAGTAGTAATTGTAGCACCCAAGTATCTCCCTCAATAACTGTTCAAGAAAAGGGAAGTAGGAATAAGAGGAAATTCCGAGCTGATCCGCCTCTAGGTGACCCGAATAAGATAATTCCTTTACCTCAAACTGAATGCACAAGTTATGAATTTTCAGCTGAAAAGTTTGAAATCACGCAGGGTCATGGACAAATCAGCGTCTGTGACCTGTGTAGTGTTAATAAAGACCATTCTGATGGGTTGAAACTTGACCTCGGATTGTCTAGTACTGTAGGTTCATCTGAGGTTGGGCCAAGCCGGCCCAGAGAGGAATTAGAGGCAGATGAGTTCCAAGATGCCGACTGGAGTGACCTCACAGAAACCCAACTTGAAGAACTTGTTCTAAGCAATTTGGACACAATTTTCAAGAGTGCAATAAAAAAGATTGTTGCTTGTGGTTATGCAGAAGAAGTTGCTACAAAGGCTGTTTTGCGGTCTGGCCTTTGTTATGGTTGTAAAGACACTGTGTCTAATATAGTGGATAATACTTTAATTTTTCTTAGAAGTGGCCAAGAAATTGATCCTTCGAGGGAGCATTGTTTTGAAGATCTACAGCAGCTGGAGAAGTACATATTGGCAGAACTGGTCTGCGTTCTTCGAGAGGTAAGGCCTTTCTTCAGTACGGGTGATGCAATGTGGTGCTTGTTGATTTGTGACATGAATGTCTCTCATGCTTGCGCAATGGATGGTGATCCCTTGAATAGTTTCATGAGTGATGGTGCTTCAAACGGAAGTTCCTCCATGCCGAATCAACCCCAGTCAAAAATAGAAGCCAAAAGTGTTGAATTGAATCTTCTGAGCCCTTCTAAGCCGGTTCCTTCAATTCCTGGTTCTCATTGTTCACAGTATGAGACACCTGCCATTGCAGGAGGGGTTTCAAACATAGCTAAACCAAAAAATTCCCTTGTTCAAAGTGGATCATTCTCTGAGAAAGAGATCACAAATTCCACATTGCATAACGGGGATAAATCTTTTGGTGTTTCTGGAACATCTCAATCTCCTGCAGTAGAGGAAAAACTTTTAGGTAGTAGAAAGGTCCATTCTGTTAGTACCAAGAGAGAATACATGCTTCGGCAGAAGCCACTTCATTTGGAGAAAAATTACCGGACTTACGGATGTAAAGGATCTTCAAGAGCAGGGAAGCTGAGTGGTTTGGGTGGTTTAATCTTGGATAAGAAACTAAAGTCTGTGTCAGACTCTACCGCTGTTAATTTAAAGAATGCTTCCTTGAAGATAAGCAAGGCTATGGGAGTTGATGTGCCTCAAGAAAATGGAAACCACAATCTTTCTTCCAACGCTGGACCTTCTTCGCCTAGAGCATTTAACCTGGATGCTGACAATACTGCTTCTGTTTTGCCGCAGAACAATGTCCCATCCATATTACCTGCTGTCAATACTTCAAATCCACTACCTGCTGTCAGTACTTCAACAGCATTACCTGCTGTCAATTCTTCAACACCATTACCTGTAGCCAATACTCCACCTGCATTATCAGTTGCTGATACTGAGCTTTCTCTCTCTCTGCCTACAAAAAACTCCAGTTCAGTGTCCCTTAGCTGCAAGTCTGATGCAACTAATTCTATTTTTTCTGGAATACCATATGATAAGTCCTTGGGGCAGTGGGTCCCTCGGGACAAGAAAGATGAAATGATTTTGAAGTTAGTTCCAAGGGTGCGAGACCTACAAAATCAGCTCCAAGAGTGGACAGAGTGGGCCAATCAGAAGGTTATGCAGGCTGCTCGTAGGTTGAGTAAGGACAAGGCTGAACTTAAGTCATTGAGGCAAGAGAAAGAAGAAGTTGAACGGCTGAAGAAAGAGAAGCAAACTCTAGAGGAAAACACCATGAAGAAGCTTTCTGAGATGGAAAATGCTTTGTGCAAGGCTAGTGGCCAGGTTGAACGAGCAAATTCTGCCGTCCGGAGGCTTGAGGTGGAGAATGCTGCTTTGAGGCAGGAGATGGAGGCTGCTAAAGTACGTGCTGCAGAGTCAGCTGCAAGCTGCCAGGAGGTATCAAAGAGGGAGAAGAAGACACTGATGAAGATTCAATCATGGGAGAAGCAGAAAGTCTTGCTCAATGAAGAACTTGTGACTGAAAAACGCAAGTTCAAACAGCTGCTACAGGAAGTAGAGCAAGCCAAAGATCTCCAGGAACAATTGGAGGTGTGTTTTAAATACTTTATTTCCAAGTTCTCCAAATTGGCAATTAATGCATGGGGATATAGAATTGAAATTATAGAGGGGGTTGTTAAAAACATAAATCAGGTGGTTGCAGGATTTTCCAAATGAATCTAAAATTGTCTGCTATCATATATCCCTTTGACCCAGACTACTGTGCCATTTTCATGTCTTATAAGTATAACATGCTATTTCTTTGGGATAGCACATTTTGCAGTTGTTTCAAATTAAATGGTACCGCATGTGATGTAATGAAGACGATTCAGTCATGTTGTACTTTTACTATTTAGATCTAAGCTATTAATATACTCAGTTTGCTTTCTCCTTTTGGAGCTTATCATTATCATATATTCATACACACAGTGCACATGTGCAAACAAACAATTTTGTACCTTAAAATTTTCAGTCACACATGGATGGGTCGATGGTATGAACTTTGAGAAAGAGCATGTCAATAGCGTTGTTGTACAACTCATTCTGATAAAATCTTGAAAATGTTCTGTTGTTCGTTTTACACTAGTTTCCTTCCTACTTTCTTTAATAGGTTTTAGTTCTGAGCTTCTTCTCACTAAAAGGGAAAGTATGTCGCAGGCTAGATGGCAGCAGGAGGAGACATCAAAAGATGAACTACTTGAGCAGGCCAGTTCAGTAAGAAAAGAAAGAGAACAAATTGAGGCTTCAACAAAATCCAAGGAGGATATGATCAAACTGAAAGCAGAGAACAATCTGCAGAAGTACAAAGATGATATTCAGAAGCTCGAAAAAGAAATCTCCCAATTGAGACTCAAGAGTGATTCTTCAAAGATTGCTGCGCTTCGGAGGGGCATTGATGGAAGCTATGCCAGAAAAGTAACAGACATCGAAAATGGCATAGATCAAAAGGGGTCCCGGATGCCATATATCTCAGAAGTAGTGAAGGATTTTCATGACTACTCTGAGACAGGAGGGGTGAAACGGGAACGGGAGTGTGTGATGTGCCTTTCAGAGGAGATGTCCGTGGTGTTCCTCCCATGTGCGCACCTAGTGGTTTGCAGAACATGCAATGAGCTCCATGAGAAACAGGGTATGAAGGATTGCCCTTCTTGTAGGAGCCCCATACAGTGGCGGATTTCTGTACGTTATGCTCGTTCTTAGTGAAGTTCGTAGAATCGGGTGGAGTGTTCTGAATAAAGATTGTGGGACTCCTATGAACTGAATAAATGCATTTGGATCACTCCCTCTGGGAGTTTTGACAGTTAAGTTGCCTTGTATCTGAATAAAGATTGTGGGACTCCTATGAACTGAATAAATGCATTTGGATCACTCCCTCTGGGAGTTTTGACAGTTAAGTTGCCTTGTATTCTGAGGTTTGATCCTCTGGGTGGTTTGAGAATTTACACATCATTTTCTCAACAATGTACTAGTTTGAAATCTACAGGGCTATATGCTTATAGCTCTAAATTTTGTTCTCACATATTCGATTAAATTATTTGAAGAATCTTGTACCAAACCCACACCAACAAAAAAAAAAAGTTAGCAACTGAAGTTATACATATACAAATTTGAAAAGAGAAAATCTTGTTCATAGCTATTGTTTTCAACCTGAACACAATACCGATTATAAGTAAGTTGGAAATGAATCGATAGGGAACGAAAACACAACACGATTATAAATGAGTTGGAAATGAATTATGAATTATGAATTGATAGTTCGACAACACAAACATAATACTTTCAAATACATCTTCCCCTTTTGTTTTAGGTAAGTATTCAAATTAAGGATTGGTTACACACTTCTTCTAATCTCGACCGTTGGTTGCATCTAAGAGATTACCTATACATTTAATGAATGCAGTCCAATGGCTAAAATTAGAAGTATGTAACCAATCCTTAACATAAAATACTTATTGGAGAATCTCTCTTTGTTTTAATACCTCTAAGAGTGTCTTATATTTTCAAGAAGCCTCCTTTTTGTCTTTTAAAATTTGAACATTTGAAGGAGAATTTGATTGGGTGGGGAGTGGCATATATGTGGATAAGAAAAGAGAGCAGGATTCCATGGTGATGATTGTCCACCAGCGAGCCACGTGGCACGAGCTCTTTGAACTCAGATTTTATTCTGGTGAAGGAGTGACGGGCCCCACCGTAATGTGCCGCCCTTTTTTGAGTCAGAAATTATATTATAACAGCTTGGACGCAGGAGTTTGCCAAGTCATCATCAGCCCTCAGCAAGACAGCGTCAACCATAATAACAGACTTTTCCCTCCCATTTTTTGCTCTTTATCCGCTGACTTGAAATACCCAAAATAACCTCCAATCATCTTTCTCTTAAAAGATATGGTTATTGAAGTTCTCTCTCTCAAAAAAAAAGAAAAAGATATGGTTATTAAAATGTGTGCCATATTTTCATATTATTTTTCTAGATAATATTAACCTTTTATTTATTTATTTATTTTTTCAGGGATTAATCCATTTTTATTTGCCACCATTATTATTCTTTTTAAAGGTGCCACCAATTATTATAAAACAAATTATTGATGAGCAAAAATTAATGATCATCAACAAAAAGAGGAATGCAGAATACTTCAAATACTTAGTCTTATGTAAATAAACAAGTCATTAATCAGTCCCCTTTTATTGAGGGATTCCTCAAATACACCCTTTAAGGTCCCTTATGATTTTTCTTTTCAACGATCCAAATAATCTATTTTTTAAGTCCACATTCATAGATCATCCTTGCAAAAAATTAGACAAATCGGAAATCGTTTCAACATTTAATTGTGTCCTACAAAATCAATGAATATGGTGCTTCAAGAAGTTACTAATATTTCAATAATTTTATTGAGTGGTTAAATGTTATCAAATAATATTTGAATGAATATCTACAAAATAAACGGTTTGGATTAGTGAAATACAATATGGAGTGGGCTATTTGAGGGATCCTAAATTAAATCTCACTACGTTAAACATACTAATTACAATGGCTAGCCAATCATTATGTGACATGTCATCAACACATGCCACGTGTCATCCTGTTGTTTATTGCCATTTTAAAATTATGAATCAAAGTAAAGGGGTTCAAAGTTCAGTTCGAAGTAAGACTTAGCGCTATAACTGTAATTTGGTCCACTCATGTCAGTATTCATCACAGCATTACAGACAAAACAGAGAAGGCACCAACCGCCATTTTTCGTTTGCTGAAGAAGCTCATCACACATCCCTTTGATCTCTTTGCAACTTTTTCAAGTCATCTTCTGATTGAAAAAAAGCACCCCAGTCTTCTGCAGGTATGTAATATGCCAACCACATATTTGATCACCATCTCAACAAGTTTGCAATCAAATGATTTGGAATTCTGTTTTGCTCTTTGTTGGTTACGGTTTCTTCCCATCAAATATAACTTCTACATATAACCATCTCTCTCTCTCTCTCTCTCTCTCTCTCTTATAATCAATTTAGCATATAGTTTGTATTAAGATTCCAGTATTATATATTGCTTGGAAGTTTGTTTGTACTGATCAGTTAAACATGATTGCATAATTATGCATTTTGCAAGTGACAGGGCTGAGGACTGTACATTGTAACACTTGGGTTTTTGAAGCAAGGGATATAGGAAATTTCATCCACAGTGAAAGGCATGCTCATAAGGACTGCACCGGAGGTTTATAGGCAGAGATTGTTCAAGGGGAAATATGTGGATCAATTTGATCTTGCTAGACAAGAAAACCCTTCCTTCCATAGCCTCAACTGGCCTGGTCAAGTTGGCCACGCACGCCATAGCCGGCAGAGTATGCATATAGTAAATGGGATCACAAACCCAAACCCCAAGAAGTATGAGCCAGGGCACAACAAAGCAAAAGCCATTCTATTCCCAGTTGCAGATTCAACTACACCCACAACCAAAAAGGTACTCATATTGTGCTCTCTAGTTTTGACATGGTATTATAATGATATGTAATTTGTTACATAGCAGGTTTCCTGAAAGCCTTTTTCTCTTGTGTTTATACAGAGAGTATTTACTTTTGGAAAAGGAAAGAGTGAAGGCAACAAGGGCATGAAGTCATTGGTAAGCTTTACTTTACTTTCCATATGAAAATGAAACCATGAGATCTGATTCAAGTTAAGGGCATGTATTAGTTGGACACCAAATTAATTGACCAGTAAGAGAAATGGAAATGCTACCATTTTTTATAGGGCCCAGTTTTTGAATGAGGAGTTTTACTTTTATCTCAGTGGAGCATAAGTTTGTCGTTTTAATGGAATCGTTCAATTTGAACCTACCCGTTAATTTCCATGTTCAAGTAAGTCTCATTGTCTAAATGTTAATAGAATTTAATGATCAACCGGGGCTGCAAGTTTTAAACTTAAATCATACAATCTGATAGCTGTGTTCATTATGCCTGTGCATTGTAGTTGGGAGGGAAAGGTGCAAACCTGGCAGAAATGGCTAGCATTGGGCTATCCGTCCCGCCTGGACTTACTATATCAACAGAAGCATGCCAAGAGTATCAGGAGAATGGCAAGGAGTTACCAAAAGGTTTGTGGGAGGAGATATTAGAAGGCTTGGATAGTGTGCAGAAGGAAATGGGTGCTATTCTCGGGGACCCTTCCAAGCCTCTCCTCCTTTCTATTCGCTCTGGTGCTGCGGTAAGAGTTCTTTCAATTCCAATTTTTCTTGGCTTGTTTAACTTTAAATCTTCATAATTAATGCAGAGCCTTCCTTATGATGTAAAAATTAGAAACTTATTAGCAAGGAATTACAACTTATCTTGGTGCCACCATTAGTTAGGCTCTCCCAGAAATATACGACATTCTACATATGGAGAAGCACTTATTCTAAACAATGTCACAATCAAGCTCAGTATGTTCAACAAGAACTAATTTATTTCATGAACCAACTGATTTTCAAGCTATATACGTAGATTTCAATGCCTGGCATGATGGACACTGTCCTCAACCTTGGACTCAATGATGAGGTGGTTGCTGGTTTGGCTGCAAAAAGTGGAGAGCGCTTTGCTTATGACTCGTACCGACGTTTTCTAGACATGTTTGGAGATGTTGTAAGTGGTTTTATTGATGATGCATTTCATAGTTTTGACCTTCAGTTCTTATCAACCATCTGCTCATTCTCTCTGTTTTAAGCACTAAAAAATGTCTGAAGCTAGCCGTCAAACTAGCAGCATTTGATCAGCATAATATGTGTCCAAACTTGTATTTTTCTCAATATGGCATGATAAAGACACCTTTTCTTCTCTGGATTCAAGATGCAATCTGAACTTATTGGGAGTCATTCGTTTTCCATTTGAAGGTTTTGGGCATCCCACACTCATCATTTGAGGAGAAGTTGGAGAAATTAAAAAGTATAAAAGGAGTTGAACTTGATACAAAGCTAACAGCCTCTGATCTTAAAGAGCTGGTAGAACAGTACAAAAATGTCTATCTGGAAACTAAGGGTGAAATATTCCCTTCAGGTTAAAACACCAACAACTTCTTCATATGTTCCACCTCTTTCCTAGTACAGTTCTGTGTGTTAACATGTCCTTTTGCCATGTATATCTGCAGATCCAAAACAACAGCTACTTTTGGCTGTTAAAGCAGTTTTTGATTCTTGGGACAGCCCAAGGGCCAACAAGTACCGGAGCATCAATCAGATAACCGGTTTAAAGGGAACTGCAGTTAACATTCAATGCATGGTTTTTGGGAACATGGGAAATACTTCAGGGACAGGTGTTCTATTCACTAGGAATCCCAGCACTGGTGAAAGGAAGCTTTATGGCGAGTTTCTAATCAATGCTCAGGTTTTTTATGCCACTATTAAGCTTTATCTCTATCCTGCTTTTGACCAAACTTCTCCTTCTAAGCCGATAGTAGTATTTGGTTATGGTTTTATGAGAGTAGCTCAAGAATGGCTTTGAATAGGGAGAAGATGTAGTTGCCGGTATTAGGACACCAGAAGACTTGGATACTATGAAAAGTTGTATGCCAGAAGCTTACAAGGAGCTTGTAGAGAACTGTGAAATTCTGGAAAAACATTACAAAGATATGATGGTAAAAGTTATCATTTCCATATATGATTTTCCAATCAGTATTACATACACATATTTTAATTTATGGGAACATATTGTTCTTGGTTTCATTTTTTATCCTTAAAACCTGAAACACAGGACATCGAGTTCACAGTCCAAGAAAATAGGTTGTGGATGTTACAATGCCGCGCTGGAAAGCGTACTGGTAAAGGTGCGGTTAAGATAGCTGTAGACATGACTAATGAAGGGCTTGTGGATCAGCGCACTGCAATCAAGATGGTGGAACCACAGCACCTTGACCAACTTCTTCACCCACAGGTATTTATTCTCATTTCTAACAAAGAGGAGGGGGAGGGGGAGATGGGGTGGGGGCAGAGAGAAAAGTGAATGTTATATTGTTTAGTAATAATGAATATATCTGCCTATAGGTTCACAGCATCTCATTGGCAAATTTGTAGTTTGGTATAATATGCCCTTTGACATGCATATGCATTTGTTAATGTATCCACATTCATAGTTTATGACTTCCTTATGTATAATTTTTTCTTGTCAGTTTGAGGATCCAACAGCTTACAAAGACAAAGTGATTGCCACTGGCTTGCCTGCATCTCCAGGAGCAGCAGTAGGGACAGTCGTGTTTAGTGCTGATGATGCTGAAACATGGCATTCACAAGGAAAGAGTGTCATCTTGGTAGACTAATATTTAAGTTCATCTTTCTCTCTTTTAACTTTTTTTCTTCCCTAGATGATAATTTGGTTCAAACCACACAGAAAGTTTATACTAACTCTTCTTGATAAATCCATAGTGATGGCTTAAATGAACAGATAGAATAATACATCAAGGGATGTGGAATTGATCTTGATATGTTATTCAAATATTGGAGTCATTTTTGGGTTTCATGATTGAGAACTGTTATAACTATAGGTAAGGACAGAAACCAGTCCAGAAGATGTTGGAGGTATGCATGCAGCTGCTGGGATCTTGACAGCTAGAGGTGGCATGACATCTCATGCAGCTGTTGTGGCCCGGGGATGGGGTAAATGTTGTGTTTCTGGCTGCTCTGACATCAGAGTCAATGACACTGAGAAGGTGGTTTTAATAGTCTTCCTTTTGTAAACAACATCTGTTGCAGTAAAGTTTAAAGAGAAAATGGCATAAATGGGGGTTGTTCATTGATGATGATACAGGTGGCTGTGATCGGGAACACAGTCATTAACGAAGGAGAATGGCTTTCACTCAATGGATCCACCGGTGAAGTCATATTGGGAAAACAGCCACTTTCTCCTCCGGCTTTAAGTGTTGATTTGGAAACCTTTATGTCTTGGGCTGATAAAGTCAGGTGCCTCAAGGTGCCATATTTTCTTGCTATATATTTTTCATTTGGACCAGTACCAATTGGGTTCATCTCAAAATATTTGTTGTAATTCTGTAACAGGTTATGGCAAACGCTGACACGCCTGAAGATGCACTCACAGCAAGAAATAACGGTGCCCAAGGGATTGGACTATGCAGGACAGAGCACATGGTAACCATTGCTCCTATCAAAATAAGTTTTAGTTGCTCAAATGTTTTGCTGAATGTGTGATGTTCTATGGCTTGTTGCAAGTCTTATCAATGTTGTAGTTTTGCTTGCTTGCTTGCAATGCTATGTGATGTTAACAATGATGTCTGGTTTTGGAGCTCTTTTGGTTTTCTCATGTTTTTTAGTGTGTTTCAGTTCTTTGCTTCAGATGACAGAATTAAGGCGGTAAGAAGAATGATCATGGCGGCTACAACTGAACAGAGGAAGGCAGCGTTGAACCTCTTACTACCGTATCAAAGATCTGACTTTGAAGGAATTTTTCGTGCAATGGATGGTATTTTTCAAAATGCCTTAGAATCTCAGTACATTGGATTGTTAAGCTCTAAGTCTATATGTTTAAGATTTTGTCTATCTTTTGCTATAAATTTGTAGCTGTAACTTAGCTATTAGATAAATTTATGAAATTCCAGGTCTTCCAGTAACAATCCGCCTGTTAGATCCTCCACTTCATGAATTTCTTCCAGAAGGTGACTTAGAGCAGATTGTCGGGGAACTAACTGCAGAGACTGGCATGACTGAGGATGAAGTTTTCTCAAGAATTGAGAAATTATCAGAAGTAAACCCCATGCTTGGTTTCCGAGGCTGCAGGTTTGACGGCTCTTCAATTTCCATATGAGCTCTCTACCTAAAGATACTCAAATTTTTGTTCTCAGAAAGTTTTGTAACTGATTAACTTCAGTCAATTGGTTCATTAGCTTCACACAGTCATCATTTCTTGTCTATTCAGCATTTGATGTTTGATTTCATTCGTTAAACAAGCTTTCCCCTGCATAAATTTAACAACTTGATGAATGTACATAATAATGAACTTAGTTGCCTAACACTTTGAATCGATTGGCCATAGTGAAAGTTTGATATCTCACTGTGACATGTAGAAAGATCATCTATTTTTTTGTTGATGAAAAGGGTTCTTTTGGTGTGTCAACAGGCTAGGGATATCGTACCCAGAACTCACTGAAATGCAGGCTCGTGCCATCTTTCAGGCTGCAGTCTCAATGAGAAACCAGGGTGTCAAAGTTTTCCCTGAGATAATGGTTCCCCTTGTTGGAACACCTCAGGCAAGATCCTGCATTCTAATTCATCCCTTTGTCCTTTCATGAGCATGCAAAGTTCCATCTTTCTGAAAACATTGACATTTTTGCATGTCAATGTCATGCAGGAACTACGGCATCAAGTCAGCCTAATTCGAAGTGTTGCAAACAAAGTGTTCTCTGAGATGGGTACTACCTTGAGCTATAAAGTTGGCACTATGATTGAGATCCCTAGAGCTGCTCTGGTTGCAGATGAGGTAGGCTAAGTTGATATGTTTCTTTTTTATTGTCCTTTAAAATTTATACTTAACAGTGTAAAAGGAAGAACATATTGTTCATAATCTGCTGATCAACATCATAGATTGCGAAGGAAGCTGAGTTCTTCTCATTCGGGACCAACGATCTCACACAAATGACCTTTGGATACAGCAGAGATGATGTGGGAAAGTTTCTACCCATTTACCTGTCCAAAGGCCTTCTTCAAAATGATCCATTTGAGGTAAGTCATATTTCCTGCGAGTCCATACAGGCTTCATTGCAGATAGCACTTTCCCCGATAGTACCAGAAAAAGGAAAAATAATTCAAACTGATTTCTTGACACTAACAGTCCAAATGCACTGCTTTCAGGTACTTGATCAAAGTGGTGTAGGGCAGCTCATCAAGATGGCCACCGAAAAGGGTCGTGCTGCAAGGCCTACCTTGAAGGTAACCGGCAATGCATAGCTATTAAGCATTTTATCACAAATTTCAGTGTTAACTTAACAGGGGAAGGTAACCGGCAATGCATAGCTATTAAGCATTTTATCACAAATTTCAGTGTTAACTTAACAGGGATAATGGCCATATATTAACAAGATTTTTGTTACTCCATTCTTCTTCTTCCGATATTTTTGGATGGTGATTATAAACAAACAGGTTGGAATATGTGGAGAGCATGGTGGGGAGCCTTCTTCTGTTGCATTTTTCGCAGAGGCGGGACTAGACTATGTTTCGTGTTCTCCATTCAGGTTTGCATTTCTTTCATTTGTCTTCTGTAAGTTGAGTTCCTTAGACTAATTTAATAGCTAGATCAAATTCCTTATTCCAAGTTCTTTTTGCAGGGTACCTATTGCTAGGCTAGCAGCAGCTCAAGTTGCTGTCTGAGAAAGATTGCATGGTTGGTGACTGTGCGATTGTAAATAAATGCGGTTTACTTGTAATTCATACAAAGCCATGATCATTATAGAAACCAAAACAGGGAACAAATAAAGTAGGCAAATGTGAATAATTCTTAAGCTTCAACATTTGGCATAAGTTGTTTGTTATATTGAACAACTTGTGACTTGGTATAACTGCACAAGTTGCATTCCACTTCTTGCATTGATCATATATATATACATAATTACTATAAGCAAATCCTATAGTTACTATATAGTGTCTTTATGAGCTCCACATTGCACTCTCACACTCTCTGCCATAGAAGAGAGACAGAGTAACACACGACGTAATCCACACCATTCAATTTTCTTATACTCTGAAGGATATAAGGGGCTTGTAGCTCAATTAGTAAACAAACAATGAAAAGCATAAACTTGCGTGAGCAAACACTAGTACTTGTTTTCACGTGTTAAACAAGAAGCACAGATACTTCAATTTCTTCAGGATTTGTCTGAGTCTTGTGAAGAATCAGAACTTGAGGAGGGGTATCCGATTCCATGGCGATTATTAGGGAACATAAAGAAAACAGTACTGGCAATTGCACCGATGAGAGGAGGCAACACCTGCAGCAAAACCCTCTCAGCGGACTCAAACCCTGGATAGAAGCACCGGACAGTGTTGGTGTCCAATAGTGATACAACTGCAAACACAATCAAGGAAAAGAAGGCATGCACAAAGTCCCCATCCCTAAGTTTATAAGCAGACAAGTCCACAGAGTTGGAATTTGTTGAGGGCCAAAGACCCTTAGGTGTTACAAACGCATAGTGGGTTTGTCCATCACTGCCGGTGTAACTATCAGTGAAGGAAGCAAAAAAGCAAGAGAAACCGGAAATGCCGATGAGAATGGCGCTTAGGTATTTGTTGATTGTGGAGCAGTGGCCATTGTTGGTAAAGACAGGGTTGAGGAACTGGAACAAGAAGACCGTGCCGGTGGGGAGGGGCTTGATGAGATTGCCTGCTCCTGTTAATGTTTTTTTGTTGGTTGTTGTCTTGGGGGAAGAGCAAGTAGAACCCCCCATTTGGGAATTAATGTGTTCTTGAGGGAGTTTGGAAGTGTTCTTTGTGTTGTGTTGTGGTTCTTGTATAAAAAATATGTTGTGTATTTATGTAGAGAAAGTGAGGGAATTGGTTTGTTTTTGTGATGGAAGAGAGCACTTGCTTTTCGTGTTGAGTTGGAAAGGTGGCTTTTTCTTTTAGAAAAGGGCGGGCTTCGTTTCTAATCCAAGCTTAGAGGAACATATTGTTGAATTTGCTGATACTCCCAAGACCAAGACAAATATAAATATAAATATTAAAAAATAGACCATCAACAAGATAAATATGTATATGTCTTAATGAAGCGTATATCATATGATGAAGATAGGATAAACTGCATTTGGAAAGTTAATAATGGTATATATTTACTCCTAATCTTTATTCCATTTTCCTTGTACTTCACAATGCGCGCAGCTGCATGTATGTTTGATTTGTCTAACATATTACTCACTTACGCTAATGAGAATGACCCTATAAAATGAATTTTGAGAAATTGAGAATACTACGGTAGTGCGGTTACTTGATACATCTTGTACACGTGTTATAAAAAAAAAAATTTGAAGTCAATAGGCCTAATGCGGCTCCATCACGTGTTGCACTTCCATGTGTATGTTCTTCAATCTAAGCATAAATCCTAAATATGTATAGTTATTCCGTACATGCTAATATCTTAATAAATATTTGCTAAACTCATAAATAATTAAATTGAACTTATAAAATTAGACAATAATTTAATATGTTACATCTTACAAGTCCCTACAGAGACTTTGGCATTTTTCATAATCTTCTATAAACGATGATGTCTTGGCTCCATTCATGGCAAAATTATCAACTCCACTCATCCCATAATCATGAACTTCATTACCATTCAACTCTATGCAAAAAAATCCTAAAACTCGATAGATATTCGACGGACGTAGAGCTGCCCCCTCCAAGCCGCCATCACCTATATGTTCCACCCAAAAATAAGTCCAATTGGAAGTGGGCGAGTGCGATATAGCACTTGGCTTGGCACTTTGACGTGGGTTTTAGGGTATAGGTAAGCTTTCATTCTATCCCTTTCATCCGAATGCCATTCGGCCACTACCTAATGCAGCCGAGTCCATCGCCATCCAACTGAAAACTACTCGGTTTGACATAAAACTATTTTTGGTAGCAATTTATAAAATATATGCCTACACATGTCAGTTTGAGGATCCAACAGCTTACAAAGACAAAGTGATTGCCACTGGCTTGCCTGCATCTCCGGGAGCAGCAGTAGGGACAGTCGTGTTTAGTGCTGATTGTTGGAATGTAATCCTGCAGCTGCTTTCTTACAGCCGAAGCTACCAAGCTCTATTTCTATTATTTTATGTTTATTTTATTTGTGATGTAATTAGAACCATTGGATCATAGTCCAGGTGGATTCTCTAGCTTAGATTTGGAATTACAAGTGTAAGCACCTCATAGGGTAACAGTTGTAATTCGGTTAGAGAAGAATCTTCCTTCTCTCTCTCTCTACCGAGCACACTATGTAAGCTAACTGTTTGTGAAAATGCAATACAACAGTCCCTTCTCATTTTTCTCTCTTCCTGTCTACAAAAATCTCCATCTGCATAAAACAACCTAAAATACTAACATGGCCTCAGAGCCAGGTTCGGTTGGTTGCTGGGCGTGAATCTGTGAAAATCGAAAGTTGGTGTTTGGTTGAGTTGAAATCGAGCTCACTCAACATTCCAAGAGGCGCATCTGTTTGAATCCAATGTCTAATATGGCAGGGTCAAGCACTGCTGAGCTTTGCACGCCAGTTTTCAATGGAGAAAACTATGAGTTTTGGAGCATTCGAATGAAAACCATTTTGAAATCTCATGGACTGTGGGATATGGTTGAAAATGGTTTTGATGCTTCAGAT